CTACCCCGAGCCCTTACCCTTACAGGAGCTGGACCTGAGCTACAACAACATCATCACCCTCAGAAGCCACGCCTTCAAGCACCTGCCCTTCCTGAAGCGTCTTTTCCTCTCCCACAACCCCGTCAGGGATGTCTCCTGGACCATGGCCGCCGCTATCACAGAACTTCATAGCCTGGAGGAGCTGGACCTCTCACAGACTGGTCTGGATCGTCTGCCGCCGCACTTCCTGGCTGACCTCACGTATGACTCCCTGGTTGACAGCTAGACTTGGTCTATACAACGGAGCGACATTTCGCTCCGTTGTATAGACCAAGTCTTCCCGAGACGGATCGAAATGTTGCCCAAGCTATACGAGTTTTAGAGAATCATATGAATTTTAATAATAAAAATAATAATAATTAATAATAATATATTAATAATAGCAATAATAATAAAAATAGGTAGAATATTTATTCCAGTAGTAAATTAACCTATTTACCTTTTTTTCTCCAGAATGGGAACCTAAATTGTTAAATTGTAACATCCCTTTTCTAAATGTACATTAATGAGTTTTCTACCTATTACATATAGGAACCTACTTTTTTCACGTGGGCAATACTTCTTTCCCCACTTACTCTGACCTGTCTTCCTCCCACTTACAGGAACCTACAAGTGCTGACGCTGGCTGGGAACAGATTAACGTCCGTTCCTTCAGAGATTCAGTACGCGCACAACCTGGTTCACCTCAACCTCAATGCTAACCCGATTAGGGTGAGTACATGAGTGAGCGAGTGAGTGAGTGAGTGAGCCGGTCAGTGAGTGAGCCAAACAGTGAGCAAGTGAGTGAGCAAGTCAGTGAGCGAGTGAGTGAATATTTAGTTAAATGCTATAACGAGGGCAGTTTAAGTACCTTATTAACCTGTGTGTTACTAAATGCACGAAGCTGTGTTTTTGGTGTTCCGTCTACTTTATTTTCTCTACGGAACAACAGTAATAATTAAGGATCTAATATCGTAACGTCTGTGGAAATATTGTTAAGGTAAACAGATTTCAACAATAGCTTAACTATTGTTATTGTGGTTCTCAGACTTTTATTCTTCTTGCTTCTTGCAGACGGTAATGATGGGCGACTTCCAAGAAGGCTTAAAGACGCTGAGAGTGCTGGAGATGTGTGCTATGCCTGATTTGAGAAACGTGGGGAAATACGCCTTCTCCAGCCTCACTGGTCTACAAGTGCTGAAGATGTCTGACAACCCTAACCTGGCTGTCATTGACAGTGAAGCCTTCCGTTTGATGCAGGGAGACGAACTGAGCCTGCAGGAGGTGGGTGGGTGTGTGGCAGGGTGGTGGGTCAGTGGCAGGGCGGTGGATCAGTAGCAGGATGGTGGGTCTGTGGCAGGGTGGTGGGTCAGTAGCAGGATGGTGCGTCTGTGGCAGGGTGGTGGGTCTGTGGCAGGGTAGTGGGTGAGTGGCAGGGTGGTAGGTGAGTGGCAGGATGGTGGATGAGTTGGGGGGTGTGGCAGGGTGGTGGGTGTGTGGCAGGGTGGTGGGTCGGTAGCAGGGTGGTGGGTTGGTGGCAGGGTTGTGTGTCAGTGGTGGGTGGTGGATGAGTGGGAGGGTGGTGGGTGTGTAGCAGGGCAGTGGGTGAGTTAGCAGGGTGGTGGGTGTGTGGCAAGGTGGTGGGTGTGTAGCAGGGTAACGGGTGAGTTGCAGGGTGGTGGGTGTGTAGCAGGGTAATGGTGAATGGCAGGGTGGTGGATGTGTAGCGGGGTAATGGGTGAGTGCCAGGTTGGTGGGTCGGTGGCATGGTGGTGGGTTGGTGGCAGGGTTGTAAGTCAGTGGCAGGATGGTGGGTGAGTGGCAGGGTGGTGGGTGTGTAGCAGGGTAGTGGGGTGAGTGGCAGGGTAGTGGTGTGAGTGGCAGGGTAGTGGGTGAGTGGCAGGGTGGATGGGTGTGTAGCAGGTAGTGGTGAGTGTAGGGTGATGGTGTGTGTGCAGGTGGTGCAGGGTGCAGTGGTGGAGGTGATGGGTCGGTGGCAGGGAGTACACTGGAAGGGCAGACAGAGGTCCTGGAGGTACACACGGACGACATCTGATAAGAAGTATCATTTACTTTTGTCTAGATTATAAACTATGGTGAATTATCTCGATGTTTGAAGCGAGGAGAGTAAAGAAGGTGGGAGAGAGAGAGAGAGAGAGGAAGGAGGGAAGAATAAAGGAGTAGGAGAAGGATAAATGGGTTGAAGGGATAAATAAAGAACCTTACAGGTAGGTCAAGATAAGTCAGCAACATAAACATAGTATGAGTGGAGAATGATCTCTATAAACACTGGATATAAGATGCCGAGGATGTCTAATAGTCAGGACTGAAACACAGGATTCAGGTTGTTTACATTCGGATTAAGAAAGGTTATAGGAGAGTAGAGCTTTGACAGCAGAGTTGTCGATACCTTGACCAGTAGCGCCACTGTCGTCAGCACGGTAGATGCAACAGTATCCGTATGTGTGTGTGTGTGTATGTG